TACTGATTCAATGTAATTGCTCATTACTGGTCTACTTGGGGTATCTATTTCTTACTGGTTCATTCCTTGGAGACTGTATGTTTCCAGGAATTTATCTATTTCCTCTAAGTTTTCAAGTTTGTTGTCAGAGGTCTACATAGTAGTTTCTGATTATCTTTTTAAATTCCTGTGATAGCCATTGCTTTGTCACCTCTGTCATTTCTGATTGAACTTATTTGAGTCTTTTCTTTTTTTTCTTCATAAGTTTAACTAGTGGTCCATCAATTTTGTTTATCCTGTCAAAGAACCAACTTTATTATTATTTGATCCTTTCTACTTTTTTTTTTTTGGTCTCCATCATATGTAGTTTCCTGATCTTTGTTATTTTGCCATTGCTGCTGCCTGAGGTTTAGATTGTTTTTGTTTTTCTAGTTCCTTGAGATGCAAGGTTAAACTGTGGCTTTTTGATCTTCTTATTTTTTTGATGTAGGCCTTTAATACTATAAACTGTTTTTGCTGTGTCCCAGAGGTTTTGGTATGTTGTGTCACTATTTGTATTTGTTTTAACATATTTTTTAAAAAAATTCTGCCTTAATTTCATTTGTTACCCAAAGTCAAAGTGGCAGAGTCTAAGTAGTAATGATTAACTACCAAATACAAGGTGTATGTGTTTGCTGAAATGAGCATCAGTGGTGAAATATAATAGAAAGATTTCTGGCAGTAACTGCTTAGGTCATCTATAGTAATAGGAGGTGAGATAGACTACATAAGGAAAGATATAGGTGCTTAAGTCAATATGAGGTGAGAACTAACAGAACCTGTCTTCAATTGTTTCTCTGTTTTCAATTAAGTGGGAAGCAAGGTCACCAACTGAGGTAAAAGATGTTAGAGAAGGTGGTGGAAATTTGACTAGAGTTAGGAACACGAGACTCAACTGTCTAGAAAACTATAGTATGATTGCAAGGCATCCTTATAGGCATAATTGATGTTCGCAGTCTTGATTAAAGTGGGAAATTTTGGTTTTTATTCAACCTTGTTTAACTTCATAGGTACATGTACAGAGTAGGTAGGGAGATTAATTTCTTCAAAGTTGAGGTTTTGACAAACAAGTAGACAAGTAAAGATCCAAGTGTTGCTGGTTGATGGAATAGACAAGAAAGGTATTACTCTGACAACAGAACAGGTTTTGGGTAAGGAAGAGAAGAAATTACGGGAGGGCAATGAGAAGGAGTGAAATGTTACTATAGCCAATGAATTTAAAGTTCTCTTATATTTCAAATATTATTAAAATTAGAAATCGAAATGTAGTGAGCTGAAATGTTTGGTACTGAGATTATAGAGGGTGTACGTTTGTTGGTCATGACACACTCTAGAGCTTGATCATGAGAGTATTTAATTTAAGGGGAGAATAAGAGTGTTGGGGAAGAGCATGCCAAATGATAGCTTTGAGTTCAGATAGCTGAATGAAGCATCTAAATAAATACTGGGATTACCAGTGTAATAGTGAAGTAGCAATAAGCTCAAAGACAAACACTTCCAAGACAGGAGTGTACCATAGGGCTCAGCATATGACTGACTGCAAAGAGAACTGAGTAATGGTGGTGAGGTCTGATGCAAGCTTTCTCTGAAGAGGGTCAGATAATAAATATTTTCAGCTTTGTCAGTCACAAATGTTCCCTGTACCCCTGTGCCTCCTCCCCCCTCTTATCCTCCTTCTCCCGCTGCTGCTCCTCCTATCATCTTACTGAAGCTACTCCTCTTGCTATTGTTCCTCCTCTGCCTCTTCCATCTACTGGTCCTCCTCCTCTTCCTGCTGCTCCTCCTGCTTTTTTTCCTCCTGCTGCTGCATCTCTTGTGTCTCTTTCCCCTGCTCCTCCTCCTACTGCTATCCCTCCTCCTCTTCCTCTGATGCAACCACAGCCATTACCTCTTGTTTTTCTTCTTTGTTTTCACAATGCACTATAATGTAGAACCATTGTTAGCTCAGAGTTGTACAAAATCAGTCAACCGGCCGCATTTGGCCTGCAGGCTGTAGGTTGTTGACACCTGAACAAAATGGGAGGTAGAGGGAATGATCTGCAAAAAGCAATAAGCAAGGCAACCCTACCTTTCTCCCAGTTCTTGTGGTGTAAGGAAAACTAGAAGAAGCAGCATCCTCAAGTAAGTACCAGGAAAAAGCAAAAAATGAGGGAATTTTCTCTCCATTATTCACAGATGCTAATAAAGCTTAGATACCCTTACCTGTACCAGTCTGTTTGGTGGACCTATGTTTCAATTTGTTTTGAAATTTGAGAGTAAAATTGCCAATTCATGGCATTTTATAATTTTTTCCCTCAAAGTGGTTACCCTGTTTTGAAATTGTACCACTGCCTTTCAATTTTCCTAAAAATTAAACTAATTAAAAAATTAGGTTTTTAAATTAGCTTTGTTTAGTTAGGTTAGTTTAGCTAAAAAATTAAACTAATCTAAAAATGTCAACCTTATTAAGATTTCATTCAAACTTTTGAAATGTTGGTTTCACAGACCTCTGTAAGTTGACTCTCTGGCCTGCACTTCCTTCTGTTTTATGACTTCAGGACTTTAATTATCACAGAAAATATTTGCTTAATATGAAACTGTCACAGATGGTAGTTTAATACTCTGCTTTCTGGTCAAGAAGATGGTTGATTGCCAGTATCTATGTTAGTTTTCTATCCTTGATGTGAGATCAGATCAAACAATTGCAAATACTAGACATGGATGAAGTCAAGAGTTTATTTTATTTTTTATTTTTTATTTTTTTTGAGTTGGAGTCTCACTCTGCCACCCAGACTGGAGTGCAGTGGCCGCTCCTGGCCACCGCAGCCTCAACCTGCTGGGCTCTGGCAATCCTTCCACCTCAGCCTTCCAAGTAGCTGTAACTACAGGCACATGCTACCATGCCCGGCTAATTTTTGATTAATTGTAGAGATGAGGTCTCGCCAAGTTGCCCAGATGGGTCTCAAACCCGCAGACTCAGGCAATCCACTCACCTCAGCCTCCCAAAGCACTGGGATTACAGACTGAGCCACCAAGCCCGGCCCAAGAGTTTATTTTAAAGCAACCAACATATTTTTTGTTTGTACCTGGTACAGAAACAAACATTTAGGAACATAGTGCAACTTACATTTCTATTCATTACATTTAGTATTGATTCACAACTTTCCTTATTTACTTAGAAAATTATTATTCCACAATTGTTTTTTTAAAACGTTACTGCTATAGACATGTTTGGCATGTTCTGCTAGTTGCTTATCTGTTATTATCTTATTTCTTAGAGTAAGAAAATATACGCCCAAATACAAAACTTCTATTTTGCTAAATTTCGAGTGGCAGAGTCCTAGAAAATGAAATATAAGAAGTCTGTTGGTTGGAGCTTCTGGGATTACCACTATTTTCGTGATAAAATGAAATTGCCTCAAATGTAGTTCATTGACCATACCACATCTCTGCCTACATAGAAGATTTAGGCAGTATTCAAAAGTGCAATAAATATGATTATGAACACACACACACAGACACTGGGGATGGCGAAGTGCAAAGACAGAAGAAGCTCTAATCCCAGGAGACAATGTAGAGTTTCTACACTACTTGAAGACTGCTGATGACTGTGTTTTATCTTGACTAGAATATCTGACAGTTCATGATCCATACAAACTACTCTGCACAGCTTTGAAAAACATTCCTCTTTTGTTTGCCTTCCTTCCTGCAATTTTATGATGGACAATGACCTACTAACAGTCAAAGATCCCAGATGTGGAAGTAGCTGATCAACAATAGGAAAATTACAGAAGAATTTAATCTGTGAAAAGTCCATCCTAAAGTCCATTTCTCTACCTTTTCTTAAATAATAAACTAAATAATTCCTCAGAGTGCCACAGTGGTTTTAGCACTAAAAGGTTTAGCACTTGGTATTGGAATTCCTGAGGTGTTTCATAAGAAAATTACAGTGGTGATAAAATGGTATGGTACCTACTTTTATTTATTTTTTTTTTTGAGTTAGAGTCTCATTCTGTCACCCAGACTGAAGTGCAGTGGCCGCTCCCGGCCACCACAGCCTCAACCTGCTGGCCTCCAGCGATCCTTCCGCCTCAGCCTTCCAAGTAGCTGGAACTACAGGCGTGCGCTACCACACCTGGCTAATTTTTTTTTTTTTATTTATTGTAGAAATGAGGTCTCGCCAAGTTGCCCAGGCAGGTTTCGAACCCGCGGGCTCAGGCAATCCACTCACCTCAGCCTCCCAAAGTGCGAGATTACAGATTGAGCTACCGAGCCCAGCTTGTACCTACTTTCCAAAAAAGTTGACATTTAACTCACATCTGTGATTAGGGGTATTCAGAACCAAAATGTATATTAATTAAAACCTTGCCATTACTCAATTAGGAACTCTTTGCTGAAATTTATCCTACTGTAATTGTCAATGGTAGTCAACAACAACAACTAAAAGCAACAAGAAAATTATATATATATATATATATATATATATATATTTTTTTTTTTTTTTTTTTTTTTTTTGAGTTGGAGTCTCTATCACCCAGGCTGGAGTGCAGTGGCATGCTCATGGCCACCACAGCCTCAACCTGCTGGACTTAGGTGATACTTCCACCTCAGTCTTCCAAGTAGCTGGAACTACAGGTGCATGCAACTGAGCCTGGCTTATTTTTTGATTTATTGCAGAGATAAGGTCTCACCAAGTTGCCCAGACTGGTCTTGAATCCCCAGGCTTGGGCAATCTTTTCACCTCAGCCTCCAAAAGTGCTTGGATTACAGGTTGAGACACTGCACCCAGCCAGAAAATAATATTTTTAAAAAGTAACAAAGTAATGGGAACATCTCAGAGGTAGCAGATAGACAATGTGGAAAATTTAAAAATTTTTAAAGTCCCTGAGAATAAGAAAAAAAATAGAAAAGTGACTATTTAAGAATAGTCTGCTACATGTAATCCTTAAGTATACCATTTCAAGAAAGACCAGTTTCCAACATATCGATTTCCTATAGTTTTGAGATTTACTTTATTTCTAAAACACATCATGAATACATATTATACTATAGATTTTCCTTTAGCCAACCAATATACTGATTTATCATCCTATAGCTGATTTTAAACATCAGAAATGAAAATGTTCCATGGAACCCGTCCTCAGCATGGTTATGGATCACCTGAACTCCTGCGTTCCGGAGTCGGGTGACATACATGAGTCCATCATCTCTTAAAACGTCATATTGACAGGTGATTACATAGGTCAGGGGTAAACGGCGCAGCTTGTTGTCATCAGCCAACAGTGGGGCTGCCCTCACATCTAGGAACCCTGGATATTTTTTAGCCAGCTTAGAACTACCATGAATTGGATTATCATAAACATGTCCCTTTATAAAATTCTCAGGGAGCAAGGAACTCCAATTAACAAACTTGAAGAGATGACTTGATTCCACAGGTACATGTTGGTTGGAAAGCATGGCTTTCTCAAGTGATCTGTCTGTAGTAAAGTATTCACTCCAAAATCTGATCATGAGTGATTTGGTCAGAGCTGGAAAATGAGAATTTTCTCGATATGATGGTGAATCTACATCAAGAAGCTGAAGGGCAGGATAAATTAAAGATTGAAGCTTGAGTTTGATCTTGACTTCTGGGTCATCAGAGAGCTGAGAAATAATTAAGATGATTTGCACAAATTACTTTCATTTCAAAACAATATAATAATCCTAATGAGATAATCTATACATAAATTCATAATCTCAAAAACGTAATGAACAACTGGAATATGCCATCTCAACAAACTTGTAAATATTCACAGTGTGTTTCTAAAACTAGATATTCCTTAATTAAATAGTACTTTAACTTAAGGAAAATGACCTGCCATATACTTCTCATGGATAATACAAAAGCATACATAATTCAGTACTTTGCATGAATTAGAAAGTTAATGAATGTCCTATTCTTTCTACCAAGAGTGGCAGTCAGAAGAACTTCATAAATTTTCTCTTTTGTTAATGTAAGAGTTTATTAAAATATACTAGTAAGCACACTGGTTTTGCATGGAGTGGGTTACTTAAATGGGATTTCTGATGTGGCTTGGATCCTAAAATGACATGCTACTTTAGGAGATTTGGGCAGTCTTTTTGATACAAAGCCTAATGTTCTAATATTTGTAAAGATCAGTGGCCTGAAGGGAGGGGTGGACAAATACCACAATGGGTAAAAAAGAATCTATAAGAATGAAATATTGCAAAATATGTTTCAAAATTTGAAAATACACACATCAAAATGTAATTTTATCCATGTTTTCAGAGTACACAATATATCATACCAAATAAGATGTATATAACTTCCCCATAAAGGTATAGATATTAGTGAATATACCCCTATATTTAGCAAATTGTGGTATTTAATCTATATTTTGACTATAAAGTTCAATGTATACAATTTGGGCACTTTGGAGACCATTTGTGAAGATAATTTTGGTTGCCAGATATTTTTATATAAATTTTTCAATTGACCCTTAAAACAACCCTGTAAAGTTGAAATAGGGTTCATTTTTATATAGGGCAAAATGAATATTTTAGAGAGATTAAACAACCTTCACATATCACATCTAGAAATTACTGCATTTCAGGATAATTTAAGACTCCTGATGTCCAAGATAATGCCTTTTTCACTACATTTTAAAACCCAAAGAAATGATTAGAAATCCATCCTGTGAAGCTTCAAATACTTATGCTATATTGTTCTTGGAACAAAAACCAACTACCATTTTTCCCTTGAGACTACTATCCAATAATTAAAACAATTGTTAGTGTGAAAAATTACAAATAAATATAGCCAACAAAAAAGGCAGCAACATTTTTAATTGCTTTAAATCCATAGTTTATAATTAAGTCAATTAATATAATCTGAAGTTCTGCATATGTAGTTTATAGATAGCTTTTCCTCCTGATTCTCACTACTGCATGGGAAAATTGTTTATATTTTAAATAGTTAATAATAGTACTTTGTCATAAAAACAAAACTTGTTCTACATATAATCTGGAAAAAGTCCATTTCTTGTTATTATATTACTATTATATTAAATGACAGATAAATGACCTGTTTTTACATACACACACAAAGAAATCTTTTGAATTATTCATATTTCTTCTTTTTAAGTAGCATAGAAGTCTTTGAAAAGGCTGATAATTTTCTAAAAATAGAGTGATTATTTGGGCAATAAAGGAATACTAAATTGAAGATTATTGAATCCATTTGAATCTCCAATAGGGTTATAAGGTTATTGTCTGGTCTCACTTCATTCACCTGACTAGCATAATATTTTACTGACACGTGTAATTTTAAATCAATGATCTATTCAGATAATTATCAATCTATTAAGAAAGAAAAAATCATGGCAGGAGCAGTGATTGACATTTTGATGTTTCAGGCATTTCTTCTCAATATTCTCTTTAATATTTAAAAAATTAGTATCTTGATATTTGCATTTATACATTAAATCTGTTTATAAGGAGCTATTTTTTTAGAAGCATAGAAATGACAAGCATCCTACCTGTTGAGTCACTGCTGCAGCTAAATTCCCACCTGCACTGTCTCCAGAAATACCGACTCTCTCGGGGTTCACCCCATATTTTGAAAGAACATCGTCACGTAAGAACCACCGTAAGGCATTATACACATCTTCAAATTGAGTTGGGAAATGATACTTAGGTGCTAATCTGTAGCTGTGCAGAAAAAATAAAGAAAACCATGATTTTCATATCATTTAAAAAATTAAAATATAATAATGCATGCTAGAAAAGCACATAGTATAAACATATAAAAACTTTTAACACTTTCGATCTGAACACAGCAATATACCCAGCATCCAGATTACAAAATAGATCATTGCCAGCACCGCAAAAACATTTAATTTACTCTTTTAACTATGAAGTATCCACTGACCTGACATAACAACATAGATTTTGACTGATTTGGGCTTTTCTTTACTTTTCTTTTTCTGAGTTGGAATCTCGCTGTCGCCCAGGCTGGGGTGCAGTGGCAAGTTCACGGTCATCCCAGTCTTCACCTGCTGGGCTCAGGCTATCCTTCCACCTCAGCCCTCCAAGTAACTGGAACTACAGGCCCGCGCCACCACGCCCAACAAATTTTGATTTATTGTAGAGACGACGCCTCACCAAATTGCCCAGGATGGTCTCCAACCCTGAGTTCAGGCAATCCTCTCACCTCCGCCTCCCAAAGTGCTGGGATTACAGGCTTAAGCCACCACGCCCAGCCTAATTTTGGCCTTTAAATAAATGGAATTACATAGTATATACTCCTATGTGTCTGGTTTCAATTCTTCAACATTATGTTTTGGGTTGCATCCACATTGCTGTGTGCTTCTTTTTTCCTTTCTTTTCTTCCACAGTGTGAATATGCCACAATTCATTACATATTGATGGGCTGAGTGAAAATAGTCATTCACAGAAGGACAAACACTATATGACTCCACTCATATGAGGTTTCTCAAAAAGCCAAACTCAAGGAATCAGGAGGGAAATGGTATTTGCCAGCGACTGTGGGGAGGAGGAAATGGGGAGTTATTAATTAACTGGCAAATTTTTCAGCCAAGATAAAGAAACTGTTGAGATGTGCTGTATAACACCATACCTATAATCAACAGTAATGTACACTAAAAAATTAAGGTAAATGTTCTTATCACAATTAATTAATTAATATTTTTATAACTATTTTGGGGATTTAGACTGCTTGAGGTTTTGAACTTCCATAATCAGTGCTGCCATGGATTTCTAGTACATGATTTCTGGTGAACAAATGTATGTATTTCAGTTGTTATATGCCTGCGCTATTGATGGTCATTTAGTTATGCACATTTCCTTAGCTCTACTTAATACTGCCAAAGAGTTTTGCAAAGTAGTAAACCAAGTTACTCCCAGACCAGCAGTTTATGAAAATGCCTGGTGATGCCTAGTTTTATTAGAGCTTGCTGTATAATGTCTGACTCATGTTAACTATAATATCAGGTATACAGAGGTATCTCCTAGTGATTTTAATGTGCACTTTCCTGGCATATAGTAGTTTTTATATGTTTACTGATGATTTCAATATACTTTTCTGTAAGTTGTCTTGGAAATTTTCTCCTATACTTCTATTAATTGGTAGGTGTTTATATATTTAGAATTAGAAAAAATATGTATTTTTAAAGCATGCATCGATATATATCTGCGTATATATATGCATACACACATACTTTAAGACTCGCATTGATGTCTTTTACTAAGCCTATTTTTTACTTTTTAATATAACTGCTTTATTGAGATATTCACACCACACAAAATTCACCCATTAAAAGTATACAATTCAATGGTTTTTTAGTATATTCAGAGAGCTGTGGAACCATTGCCACAATCAATTTTGGAATATTTTTACCACCCCAAAAAGAAACCTTGCACCAATTAGTAGTTGTTTTTCATTGCCCCACCAAAGCCATAGATAGTCAATATCTAAATTCTCTCTATATAGATTTGCCTGTTTTGGACATTTTATATCAATGGAATCATAGAATGTTTGGCCTTTTGTGACTGACTTATTTCCCTTAACATGATATTTTTAATGTTTATCTATGCTGTAGTATTCCTTTTTATTTACAGAAAATATTTAACTGTATGTATATACACATTTTCCATTCATTAGTTGAGAAACATTGAATTGCTTTGACTTTTTAGGTTTAAAAATAATGTTGCTATGAAAATACACTCTTTCATGAGTATGTTTTCATTTCACTTGAGTATATACCTAGAAATGGAAATGCTGGGTCATATTGTAACTCTATGCCTGATCTTTTGCGGAACTGTCAAACTGTTTTCTTACATGGCTGCACCATTTTATATTCTCACCAGCAGTATAGAAGGTTCCAATTTTTCTATGTCCTCACTAATACTTGTTATTATCTATTTTTTAATTGTAACCATCCTAGTTGGTATGAAGTGATATGTAATTGTGGTTTTGATTTGCATTTCCCTAATGAATAATGATGTTGAAAATCTTTTCATGTGCTTATCAACCATTTTAATTTTGATAGAGTCAAAATTCTTCATTTGTTAATAGCTGGAACTGTTCTTTATCTTTAATGTAAATATCATAAGGGTATATTTAAAGGAAAGGCATGCATTTGCATACATATTTTGAAAATATATTTTATTTGTTAGGTATATATGATTTATTAGTCATTTTAATGAATCAAACATAGGTGTGTATCTTGTACTCATTTGACTTCCCATCTTTAAGAAAAGCAGCCGGGCTTGGTGGCTCAGCCTGTAATCCCGTGCTTTGGGAGGCTGAGGCGAGTGGATTGCCTGAGCCCACGGGTTCGAAACCCACCTGGGCAACTTGGTGAGATCTCATCTCTACAATAAATCAAAAATTAGCTGGGCGTGGTAGTGCACGCCTGTAGTTCCAGCTACTTGGAAGGCTGAGGCGGAAGGATCACCGGAGCCCAGCAGGTCGAGG